TCTAGATACCTCAGAGATGTGGTTTTACAGAAGAATGCTTAGAATACCTTGGACAGCCAAAAAGAGCAACCAAGAGGTTTTGAAAGAGGTGGGAGCCCGAAGACAAATTATCACAGATATCAGAAGGAGACAGTCATCATTTTTCTGCCATATTATGAGAAAAGGAAAAATAGAACATGTTGTGACCACTGGAAAGATCTGTGGAAGGAGGGATAGAGGAAGACAACGAGAGAGGATGCTTAACAGTCTTGTTGCATGGCATGGAGGTATGTCGGCACACGAACTGATACATGATGCAGGAGATCGCAGGTTGTGGAGAGGCATGATCATCCACGCCAGTCGGCAAGGCACCTGATGATTTCCTAGACAGAGAGCAGCAGTCATATGTCTGCTGGTTGGAAGGGTTTGAATTCAAATCGCTATTTAGTTTGATTTGTTCACTGCTTGACCTTATCTTCCAGATCAATCCAGCATTAACTCTTTCAGGACCACATTATTTCTGGGGTTTGGACAGAATTAATTTTGAGTGGAGTTTTTTTACTGCAACACGACAAAGCTAAAACCTTCCTGAAGAAAAGGTATTGGCTGTATTGGGACATATAATCTATCAAATTAAAGATAAATGGGTGCAGAATAAATCTAAAATATTTAAATGTCATTATTACAACAAAATAATATTAAAATCACACAACATTCAAGGATGTTAGACACATATGAAGATTATTGACATAAAAAATTTTGTGCTTACCTTATTTTTTACTTGTTCAGCAACACTGCTATCCTAGTCTAAGAATGCACATGCCTTCTCTGTTCAATTATGTATCAGCTAGTCTTTATTTGAAACAATTAATTTCAATACTTTGGATCTTATGATCATTTTTGTATGACGTGTCAGATTTCGGGAAAACAGCTGATCGAAACAATGATCCTATTAAAATATTTTGTTTAATTTTCATATACTAAACTAAATTATGGCCAATAGGTTTGTCACTTAGATATCAATCACAATATCAAGACTGTTGTCACCATCTGGCAGAGATTCATCAACGACAGAGCAGTATGAACAGTTCTAGACCTTTTCCCTTTTCATTAAGTTTAGAAAAATCACGTAAAAATTGTATCCTATGTAAATAATTTTTTTTAAATCAGAAAATAATGCACTGACCACGATGAACTTCTCAAACGAAAGAACTTCCTGTTGGTAATCCTATTTGCTCAAAAACTTGTTCATAAAAGTTTGTTTTCCCAACAAACGGAACAAAATTAAAGTGTCTATGATACGCCAGTATACTGGCGATTAGTCCATTAGGGATAAATTCATTCGCCAGTATACTGGCTAAAAGTCTTTAAAGAGTAAAAATGGGTACACAGAAAACTCTTCTCATTAGCATTCATCGGCTGTAAACTCTAGCAGAAAGTTCTGGTTGTTCATCCACTTCTGAGTTTTGCTTGCACATCTGTTGTACAGATCTGACTTATTTATATGAAGACTGTTCATTCCTCATCTCTCATGCAGATGTACTTTGATTTTGATGTCAACACCCCTAATTAGTTTAAATTTACGACACAATTGTTATGGGGCCAGTAATTTTTTTCTTTTTCCACCTGACAGTGGGACCTAGATCCCACATAGGGAGGTTCTAGAAAATGTCTATGGAAGCAAAGGTGTCTGGTGTGATTTTGACCACATCGCCTATCAAAAACTGATTTGTCTATACAAATTTTGTTCTAGCAACATATACTCATGCATTATTGTTATGGAAAAGGGTCCTTTGCTTATTACAAGCTTTTATTAAGTGTGCTTTTGTTTGTTTGTTTGTTTGTTTGTCTGCTACAGTTTCTGCATTTGATTTTCTTTTATTTACTAGAAAGTTGGAGGGGTAGAAAGGCAAGGAAACGGGAGAGGAAAAATGCCAGGCAGTTTGTCTTTATGGCATGAAGGAAATCTTCACCCTTACAGGTGACTGGCACATTGTGATTTAGTTTACAGCTACGATGTCTACACCTTTGAGCCCAAGACAGCAGTTTCAGCTAATTCATAATTAGTCTCCTTTTTGTAACATAATTGTTGAGGGACAGTGAGTCTGTTCTTTTTTCCCCCCCTCAAAATGGAACCATTTTTGTTTCTAAGACTTGTTTTGCTTTAAATCGTTAGGCAATCAGTTGTCTCAAGAGGGCCAACTACTTAGCTCCATTTGACTGGAAAATTCTCTACAACCTTGGCCTAGTGCACCTGACCATGCAGCAGTATGCCTCTTCATTTAACTTCCTGTCAGCCGCCATCAACTTGCACCCAGACCTGGCCCAGTTATACATGCTGCTAGCCAGTGAGTAGATCATTTGTGTGGTTATACATGTGGCTAGAGAGTTGCAGGATAGTACAAATCCCGAAACTTAATCTGTGCTATAATCTATAAAAGATCTAGTAAGGCATCTAATGAGGAAACTGGCAGGACACTAGATGATCTCATCTGCGAACATCTCTTGGATATTGAAAAGGAGGCACTCAGACCAGTCTGTCTCTATTTCAGCAGTTCTGACTACAGTGGTGGAGACAATATCTCTGTCATTGTCATGAAATCTAGCTCTGGTGATCAAACCTCACGTTTCTCTTTGGAAAATGGCCTCATTTATAGTTTCCCGGGCATCAGTGGTCAGCGTACCTTCATCTAAATAATATTATTATTCTTACTTTTATGTTTTTAATTATTTTATTTTATCGGTTATTGTTACAGTTTGTGGATCATCAGTAATTTTTATTGAGGTTTTTTGGGGACAAATAGATTATCAGGATCTGAAGAGAGTGGTGCAGCAGGAGTGACGAGGGGACATGACAGCACTTTACACTCAAGGGAGTAGGGAGATGGGCAAGTGATGAGGAGACAGGACAGCACTTAACACTCAGGGGAGAAGGGAGATGGGCAAGTGATGAGGGGACAGGACAGCACTTAACACTCAGGGGAGAAGGGAGATAGGCAAGTGACAAGGGGACAGAACAACACTCAGGGGAGAAGGGAGATGGGCAAGTGACGAGGGGACAGAACAACACTCAGGAAAGAAGAGAGATGGGCAAGTAACGAGGGGACAGAACAACACTCAGGGGAGAAGGGAGATGGGCAAGTGACGAGGGGACAGAACAACACTCAGGAGAGAAGGGAGATGGGCAAGTGACGAGGGGACAGAACAAAACTCAGAAAAGAAGGGAGATGGGCAAGTGACGAGGGGACAGAACAACACTCAGGGGAGAAGGGAGATGGGCAAGTGACGAGGGGACAGAACAACACTCAGGAAAGAAGGGAGATGGGCAAGTGACAAGGGGACAGAACAACACTCAGGAAAGAAGGGAGATGGGCAAGTGACAAGGGGACAGAACAACACTCAGGAGAGAAGGGAGATGGGCAAGTGACAAGGGGACAGAACAACACTCAGGAGAGAAGGGAGATGGGCAAGTGACAAGGGGACAGAACAACACTCAGGAGAGAAGGGAGATAGGCAAGGGACGAGGGGACAGGACTACACTCAGGAAAGAAGGGAGATGGGCAAGTGACGAGGGGACAGAACAACACTCAGGAGAGAAGGGAGATGGGCAAGTGACAAGGGGACAGAACAACACTCAGGAGAGAAGGGAGATGGGAAAGTGACCAGGGGACAGGACAAGACAAGACACAGCACTCAAGGAAGAAGGGAGATGGGCAAGTGACAAGGGGACAGGACAACACTCAGGGGTGAAGGGAGATAGGCATACAACCAAACCCTTACGGGTATATTGGAATATGAACTGTGCTTGCTGCTGAAGATGGGCACATGAATGTCCAGATTGATATGATGTCAGTTGTTAACTCAAAACTAAATACAACATATTACAAGACAGGCATACATAGATCTATTAATACTGACCTCCACAACAATAGAAGATGGACATCATCAAATAACTTTGTGACCATCTCTAGGGCTAATTTCTTGGTGATGGTGTAGATGGGTTTCCAGAGCTTGCATAAAGTAAAAAAGTAAAGGACCCTTTTCCACGCCTTTAGGTGTATAGGGCAAATAGGGCTAGACCTATATTTTTATAGACCAATCGGCACAAGATGGGTGATGTGGTCAGCATCACGCCGGCCGCCTTTTTTTCCCGGGACTGCATCCGGTACCCACTCAAGGCTGGGTCAACCTGGGAGCCAATGTCATTTTTGAAAAACGTCCGGCTCCACCAAGGAGTGAAGCTTGCATAAAGACCTAGTGTTATTAAAAGTAAGAACAGTAATTATGAATTATGTATTATTTATTGTAATAATTTGGTCATAAACTTGTTTTAAAGTTTCGCTGCATCATTTGGAAGATCCAGAAAATGCTAGTAAATCTTATGAGCACGCTCTTCAGTTAGACAAGTAAGTATGTTCTTCAATTTTTTGGGGGGGTTTTTTTTTTTTTTTTTTGGTATGATTTGTGGTTTTCAGTATGTTGAGATACAAATACTAGAAATCACCAAATGCTTGTAAAGGTGCTATAAGCTATCTAAAATATATCAATATATAGATACTGTTGAGCACACGCAACACTCAGGTTCTGGAGCAGGACTGCAGTTCAGTAGTGGACGAGCAACCAGAACCTTCCGCCAGAGTTTACAGCTGGTGAACGCGAAGAAGAAGAAGAAAAAGAAGATACTGTTGAAATCAAACTACATGTTTTACAAACTCTAGTTTGTTTTTGTGGGAAACAAGGGGAAGCTACCATATTACTATCCCAGGAAACTTATCACGGAAGCCAAAAACTTATGCAACATTACAAGTCTGTGCTTAAGCACAAAGAAATAAATCAAAGTTAAAATTTTGAGAGCATGCATCTTCCCCGTAGCAACATATGCATGTGAGTCGTGGAGTATCTCTCAGTCCTTAAGGAAGAAAATAGAGGCTTTTGAGCTGAATTGCTATAGAATAATTCTCAGAATACAAAGGACAAAGAAGAACAGAAATGATTATATTTTAGAAGATCTGAACATCAAGGAAGACAATAAACAGCATCTTGTCTCGGAAGCTGAAATATTTTGGTCATATCAAGCACCATGGCAGACTGGAAAAGATAATGGCAGAAGGCATAGAAGGAGGGGCAGGGGCCTAACAACATGAAGATGAGCACAGAATATTAGTGACTTACTGGATATGAAAGTGGCCCTTGTGAGTTCCGAATAGACCCACTGCCTCCCTGACAAGCATGTCGTAGAAGCGGACTAGCTGGGGCCTCCTTCGAAGCCAGAGTGCATCTGCCCGATCAGCAAGGGACAACCAGCTGCACACAAATAAACCAGTAAAATGGATGTACACACAAAACTCAGGCCCTGGCACAGTTGAATGAACAATCAGGACTTTCCGCTGGAGCTTACAGCCAGGGACCACAGAAGAAAAAGAAGAGGAAGAAGAATGTGAAACTGCACAATGCGGGTGAGCTGTATCCTATATAGTTGGGCCTCTGTTGACAGAATGGCTAGCTACTTGCTGAGGCCATTGCACAAGCATGCATGAACTCCACATCTCCAGCAATGGTCCCCATAGATCTCTCTAAAATTTGCACCAGTGAATCGAGCGACGCGGTCCATGATCACATTATCCCCAAACTTCGCATTTGAAATCAGTCAAGTTTGGGCAGTGAAAATGTCCTTCAACATTGCCTGGTTCATTGCCGTCTAGATCAGTCCATTTATGCTTCGCTCTGTTTCTTTGAGCCATGAAGTAATCCCCTCTGGCTTGCTAGACACACAAAAATGACCTAGATGATTCCGTCCACCTAGGTGAGCCAGAGCCTTATTGGAGCATGGCTTTACAGCCCTGGTGAAGGTGGATGCCATCAAACAGTATACTACAGCAAGCAGTGATGTATGGACCAGGTGGGGAGCGAAGAAGAGGCAAACCATGTAAATTTTAGATAAAGGGAGTAACAGAGTTCCTTGGAATCCCCGTTTACAAAGGGCGCAAACGGGCTCTTTCCCGTAAAATATACTTCACCTGGACACCGCAAGGTACTAGAGAATAGAGATGAGAATTAAAATGTCTTTTACATTTTAAGACTTTTTTTTTAATTTTTAATCATCATATTTATTGAAATCTAAATTTGTACAAACAGTGCTCATCAACATAATATTAATACAATTAGTTTTGTTTCAGAATTTTGTTAAACCATCACTGGTTTTTTTTTTTTTTCAGCAAAGACCCAGCCATATTGGTTAACTATGCATTGTTTCTCTACCAAACTGGAGATAGACGCAAGTCTAGTGCTTTGCTCACACAGTTTGACACACTTTCTGCATCATTGAAAAATTCTGGCCGGGAAGTTGATCAAGGAGTAAGCTCCACCTGTTAAATTATTTCCATTACTAGTTTTTTGTCTGTCAAGAATGTTTTTTAAAAACCTCTTCAGTACCAGACAGTTGTTATTTCAACACACATGATTGTATGACCTGGGAGTAAAGCATGGTGAAGTACGTCTATGCTGCCTTCGAGGCTGAGATAGAAGGCATTATTACCAGATCCTCATTGGAACAGTCAGTAGAGGTACTTGTGGCTGCTGCATCAGAGGAATGAGCACGCATCGGAAGGCCTGGTGTGCAGTGATGTCTATTCTGATATCATAATATAACATACTTCAGCACTTTCTGACTTAAGAGTTTATGTACATTTGAGCAAGTCTCTGAGTCTCAGTGAACTAAAATAGCACAGTTATAAAACACTTTCTTCTTTTTCTTAAAGTCCACACCTTGTGGCGTTGGCAGTCTTGTCTATTCACAACCCGCTATCTCGTGTACTTTCAATCAACTCTGACACAGAAGATCCTCCATGCCATGATGTCAATCTGCCCAACATTTCTCTGTTGGTCTCCTTCTGCCTCTCCTCCCCTCCAGCTTCCATACTGTCGCGATGTTCTCCAATTTTTTTCCTTCTCATCACATAACCAAAGAATGTAGATTATCTTACACACTTTATAAAAAATAATTATGTTAGATAAAATAATCTCTCCCTTTTACCATTTATCCCTCTTTGGAGCATTAACTGTCAGCCATCTTACGCCAGATCTCCTTATCCTGTAAAAAATATGCAGAAGTTTACAAAGAAATTAGGAAATTGTTAACTCTCTGAGTCCCAAGGAAAGCATGATATGTTCATAGGTTACTGCCTAGAAGCCCAATGAACACATAATGCGCCGATTTTACATCTCTCTTGACTACCCCTTGGGCCTGTGCTGCTAAACCCTCTGGGACTCAAAGAGTTAAGGGTGGATCACACCAATATTTAGATGGTCTAACAGGAGTCGCCATGGTGGAGCGGCTAGATGTTCACCTGCGATTGGAAGGTCGTGGGTTTGCTCCCTGGCTGAGCCGGACTTTTAAAAAAAAAAATTACCTTGGTTCCCAGGTCGACCCAGCCTCGAGTGGGTACCGGGTGCAGTTACGGGAAGAAAAGGCCGCAGGCGTAATGCTGACCACATCACCCATTTTGTGCCATTCAGTCTTTAAATATAGGTCTAGCCCTATATGCCCAATACACCTAAAGGCGTGGCAAAGGGTTATTTAACAGGTTATGCAGAAGTAGCAGCAGGATGCATAACCTCTGACTGGTACAGCAACCTAAGGAAAATACAGTCTGCCAAGTTGACTGTTTAAAAATAATGAGAAAGTTCCTCGCCAACATCAGAAATGAAAGAGACAGATGCATTTGATACTTTGATGAACTTCCATGCTAAGGTCACATGAGCACACACTGATGTCAATATCCTATCAGCTGCCTTTATTTCCTCATCCATTTTCTGGTTCCCGTTTTGGACTGGGTTAGGCTGAGAGGAAGGATTTTTTAGATCCTTATCCCATGGGGGGTTTAAACACATGTGCTCCAGACTGACGAGCAAAAATGCAAGCCACTGCATTATCTCAGCAGCCATTGTTGAGGATTATGCAGTGTTAATTCTCTCTTCAACAGCTCACAGACCTGGCCGCACAGTTAGGTGCAGTGATCCAAACTGGCAGTGTGGGCACAAGAGCACAGTCGGAGACGACGAGTGACAACACAGACACAGATATTTATAGCACAGTCAACAAGGCCAGGATGTACGCTGAGTCAGGTAGGTCATCAGCATCATCATGTTCCATAGCTAATTCGGCGCTAAGCAACTCACTGTACTTCTGTTGGGCTCTATCACGTACTATTTTCCACCTCCCTGTGTGGGTTCCAGGGACCCATTAGGGGGAAAACAAGAATAGACCCACCGCCTACCCAACAAGCCTGTTGCATGAGCTAGCTAACTGGGGTGGGAAGGTGAGGATCCTTAGAAGTCAAAGTGTATCTGCTTTAGAGGCAAGAAACCAACAGTCTGCATGCAGATAAGCCATATCTGTAAAATGGATTATCACACAACACTCGGGTCCAGGTTTTTTTGGGTGTTTTTGTGTGTGTGTGTGTGTGTGTGTGTGTGTGTGTAAATAATATCACATACCCCTTAAATTTGTTCTGAGATCAACCAACCACATAATGGGGATCACTGGTGTACTTAATATGTTATTAGGATGTAAAGAGTTTAAGTGGGTGGGACTGAAATAGTTAACAATAAATAGGACGGTCATGGTTCACTGACATCCGTCGCCAGCTGGTGCTCATTCTTGTCTTGATTATGCAAGCCATCCAGGGGTTTGTATTTTAATCAACCCCCTGCTTTGTTTTCCCATCAGGTTTTTCAGCTGTCACTCTTTACCTGAGGAGAAGTGGATGGAGAATTTATTACACAATAAATATTTAGATCCGAAGGACTGGAAATAACTGCAGAAGGATTTAAAGCACAGATTGGGGCAGAGTTAATGTGACAGCCCGTTCTCAGTGGGATATAATAAGTCCCGTGTGGGTTCAGGGGCCCCACTGTGGGGAAAACAAGAATAGACCCACTGCCTCCCCAGCAAGCATGTCATAGGAGTCAACTAATTGGGGGTGTTTCCTTCGAAGTCAGAGTACATTTGCCTGAGAGTCTGCCTACAATTAAGCCAGTTGTGTGGAACGGGTGTGCATGCAACACTCCGGTTCTGGGACAAGACTAAAGTCTGAAGGTATACGAAATATCCAGAACTTTCTGCCGGAGTTTACAGTTGGTGAATATGAAGAATAAGAAGATATAAATAACATGGAACCCTATAAAACAGGCATTGGAATGAGAAACAAGCAGATTAATGAAACGAGCTTGACCAAAAGAAAGTCTCAAATGTACGTTGTTGAGACAGGCCAAAGATACAAGGACCCATCCGTGGTATTGAAAGGATTACACCGGATAGAATGGAATGGAGGACTAGATTGTGAGCTCTGTGTGCCCTATAAAAGAACAACAGGATGATGATGATGATATATATCATCATCATCATCATTTATATAGCAGGTCCTTTGCAGAGCGTCACTTCCATCATGGTCTGTCTAAAAGAAACTCAGTCTTTCACCAGCTCTCTCTCCTCGTGCACCTTCATAACTATTTCAGTCTTTGTAACTTGATGAGTTTAGCGATGGGTTTTATTCCAGCAGTTCTTGGAATGTATTTATTTCCCACATAATCTTTTCTGGTTCTGTTACCAGCTTTTCTCAGACATTTCATTTCACTCAATAATTTTCCACATATAGTACCAAGCACAGATATACCCGATTCATCCCACTCCAAAAACATGCGCTCAGTGCATGGGGATGATGAACCAGACATCATGAACGACTCGTCTGTAAGGCCAGGCCCCATGGCAAAGTCCGAGATCAGAGAGAATGTTTTAGAGCCACCAGCAGAGTTTGGAAACAACAGTAGTTCCTTTGCTGCTGCTGGGACTCCCAAGCTAGCTCCCCTCAGATCTCTAGGTTTGTAAATGACGTCATGTATGTCAGACTTACTTATAATGATGTTACATGTGTCAGAGTTTGTCAAACTGATTGTATTAATTATGAAACATTTGTCAAGATAATACAAAATATGTCTAATCTGTCAAACTGATTGTATAAATTATGTCATGTTTGTCCCACAGATCTTATAAATTATTTCATGTTTGTCAGACTGATCATATAAATTATGTCATGTTTGTCAGACTGATCATATAAATTATGTCATGTTTGTATGACATATTTGTCAGACTTATCAGTTAGATTAATGTCCATGTCCTCCCACGAGCATTGTTTTGTTGTTAACATTATGTCCTGAGGAGCTGACCAGCAGAAGACACAACGCTATCGAACACCAAAAATATACACAGCACACTTTTACACATGGACATGAGTCCTTTACGGTATTGAAATCTCAGAGGGCAAACATTCTTTGTTTTTCAGAGGGACAAAACTTTGCTGGATCTCTGCCAGGTCTTCGGAGTGGGAAACTACTTAGTTTAGACCATGCTCCACTTCCTCCCACTCATCTGCCTGAGGATGATGATAATATCACAGGGGAGACGGAGACCAGGGGCAACAAATCATCCAGGGGAAAGAAGCAATCAAGTTCTGCTGTTTAAAGTTATTTCCCTTTCTGAAAGATGAATGAACACAGATTACAACTGGAAGGCTTGGTGTAAGGAAATATATGCAAAGACTATCTTCTTTTTCGCATTCGCCAGCTGTAAACTGCGGTGGAAAGTTGTGGCTGTTTGTCCACCTTTAGGCTTGGTCTTGTTCTAGCTTATTTGTGTGCAGACTTTTGATTCCTCACCTCTTAGATAGATGCACTCCAACTTTTAAGAAAGCACCCTGCATCTAGTCATCTCCATGTGGGATGCAATTTTTGTTTTTTTTTTTAAATGAAGCCCCACCCTGGCTTTTGCAAGGGGCCCTGAATATGGCCGGGCCATAAATATGGCCTAATGGCTGAAAGGGGTTTCAGGGACCTCTCCACGGGTGATCCCTATCCACATGGTGGCACTTTGTGTCACCAGGTCTTTATCGCTTGTGTGATGTCCTGGTGGGGTACAACAAGAGAGAGAGAAAGCACCCCTAATTAGTTGACATTTATGACATGCTTATTGGGGCTTGTGGGTCTATTCTTTTGTACCCTGCAATGGGGCCCCGGAACCCACACGGGAAACACAGAATCTGACTTAATTCTTTTTGCAAGGAAAGACGTACACAAAATGTGACTAGAATGCTTGGAGTAAAAAAAGACAATAATGATTGCAAAAAAATCTAAATAAAATGCTCAGACAGATCAGTAATCCGTGTGATAAATATACTTCATTTTTCTTTTCTTCTAACGGCAATCATAAAATAAAATAAACTTCTTCTTCTGCTTCTTTTTCTCCTTTTCCTCCTTCGTCAAAAAATACGATTGCTGTATTAATGATGAGTGTTTGGAAGGACCGAATTTAAGACCGGCCTACGGGCCCAGTTTACGACACTGAAAACAAAGTTCCACTTATTCATTTGTTTGTTCGTTCTTCTGTTCCTCTTGCCACAATGAAGTGTTGGGAGATTACGGATCCTCTATGTGCTCTTTAAAATGGGCTGTATAAGTTGGTCTTTGTTTTTCTAAGGTTTTTCTGGATGTCTTTGTCATTCCATATTTTTGCGTGAACTTTTTCTCTGAGCTCAAGATATTTCTGCTGACCCTTAACAAACATGTTATAGAATGTGACAAATTAAGGATTTGCTCCAATTAAATATGTTAGGCTGGAAGGTGCAGATACCACAGCCTAGCTGTAAACCACAACAAAATATGCCAACCGCCCTTAAGGGTGGATGAAAAAGAGGAAGATATGAAGAATCTTAACCGCAACTGTTCTCTGTTTTTGATTTCTGTGTGAACTGTTAATAAATTACAGCACTGTGTGTTCATATTAAACTCAGAAGTGTTTAGTGTTGACACAAGTTCACATTGTAGTTTTGTTCATTTATTAATTGCTGTTGCTAATTTTAAACAAGTGTGGCTTTGTATTGAAGATTTTCTTCAAATGAAAAATATTTATGTTGTATGAACAGTTTACAACTAGGCATATTTCTTATACAATGTTTTTATCATATCACTTGGTCATTAAACTGCATCGTCACTATACAAACTTTGGTGATTTATTATTATACTATCCCAAACAAGGAAAATCAACAGGTCACGGGACAGTCTAATATTTCAGGGGGTGGTAGATCGGTTGCATGCAGTCGTGGGACCTGGGCTGAACTCTCTTGTGGAACATAGGTGGGTTAGGGTTAGGACCAGTTCTAGTTGTTTTGGGGTCATCAAAAGCATCAGAAAGCCAAGAAACCAAGTCTTACCACCCTCTAAAATATTGGACTGTCCTATGACGTCATCTGGGGTAGAATAATAATAAGCATCCAAACTTCTGAGTTTTATAAAGTAGAATGTTAGTCAAGAATCCTGTTTTACATATGGCGAGGCATACATAAACACGATGTGCCTATGGTCGAGGTGGCCAGAAGAGCTAGAAACAGAACCTTATAACTCCCTCGACACCCACAGCGGTAAAAGAGGAAGTGAAGAAGAAGAAGAAGAGGCATACATGTAAGAGCTGTAATTGCCGCTTACACTTTCCATTACACAAAAATGCATAATTTTGCTATTTATTACAAATGGGGAGCCACTGTGATCTAGCGGCTAAATGCTCGCCTGCGGATCGGAAGGTCATGGCTTCGGGTCCTGGCGCGATCCGGACCTTTTTTCCAGGTCAACCCACCAGCCTTGAGTGGGTACCAGGTACAGTCCTAGGAAGTAAAGGTGGCCAGTATGATGTCGACCACATCACTCACCATGTGCTGTTTGGTCTATAAAATATAGGTCTGGCCCTATATGCCCAATACGCCTAAAGTCATGGAAAAGGGTCGTTTACTTTTATTTATTACAAAAGTTCCACTTTGTTTGAACTTAGCAGAAAGACCACTGGCTACAAAATTACACTACTCACACAGAAATTGTAGCACATGACAGCTACCAGTTACTATTATTACAATTCTAGCTGAGCACGCATACTTTCAACAGCGAAACGACAAGGAGGAAAACTTTGTGTGATACCCCCTCCATTGTAATTGTTACCTGCTAATGCTGACACATGTGAATTGGTCACACCTCACCACTGCTTCTTACCCACATGAGGTTTTATATGGTGTTAAACTCATATTTTTGGACCAGTCGGCCCTTAGTGGTAATAAGTGATGGACCCTTTTCAAGCCTTTAGTGGTAATAAGTGATGGACCCTTTTCAAGCCCTTAGTGCATTGGAGGAGCTATTGGCCAAACAGTTAACAAAGTAGGGCTCTCATGCGGGAGACCTGGGTTTGAAACCCTGTTAAGGTTAGGGATTTTTTTCTGTTAGGGTAAAAAATCAAATCCTTACTTGAACAGTTCGTGGTCACAGCCCTAGCCATGTGGTGCTAAATCCTCAGGCTTAAAGACTACCTGTCTACACCGAAGAAGTGGTATATACAGACAGTGAAGGCAGGGTTGTTTTTGTTTGTGTGTGATACATCAGGCGTTTAATGTTAGACCTTTATCTTTATAGACCAGATAGTAGTGTGGTCACATACATTATGGCGGCCACCTTTCAATTAACTAATCAGTGTTCTAATTTCATGGCAAACAGGATTTCTCCCCCCCCCCCCCCCCCCCACTAGTTGCTCCATTCAGGTGCCAGCAAAAACCACACAGAATTTCCATTGATGTACCTTGTAAAAAACATTGAAGCAAACTGCAGTCACAGCAAAGAAAATGCACCCAAAACAAAACTCATTAAATCAGTGTTTCCCAACTTTGTCTTAATTGTAGCGCCTTTTTTTTTTTAATTAAAATTTTTCCACAGCGCCTTAACCTAAGTAAAATTAAGACTATTCGTATGTAAGAGATTTTTTTTTTAAACTTAGCGCACAGTTTGGAAATCCCTGCATTAAATACATAAGGCAGCTGACAGAATAACTTGCATAACTTGCTGCTTGTCCTTATTGACATTTTGGCATTGACCTGACAGTTAGCTTGTCTGTATTGACATTCTAGCATCCACCTGATAGTTTGCTTGTCTGTATCGACATTCTAGCACCGATCTGATAGTTTGTCCATATTGACATTTTAGCATCGACATGACAGTTTGTCCGTATTGACATTCTAGCACCGACCTGACAGTTTGTCCGTATTGACATTCTAGCACCGACCTGCCAGTTTGCTTGTCCGTATTGACATTTTAGCACCGACCTGACAGTTTGTCCATATTGACATTCTAGCACCGACCTGACAGTTTGTCCGTATTGACATTGTAGCACCGACCTGACAGTTTGTCTGTATTGACATTTTAGCATCGACCTGACAGTTTGTCCGTATTGACATTCTAGCACCGACCTGGCAGCTTGTCCGTATTGACATTTTAGCATCGACATGACAGTTTGTCCGTATTGACATTCTAGCACCGACCTGGCAGCTTGTCCGTATTGACATTCTAGCACTGACCTGACAGTTTGTCCGTATTGACATTCTAGCACTGACCTGGCAGCTTGCCTGTATTGTCATTCTAGCACCGACCTGACAGTTTGTCCGTATTGACATTCTAGCACCGACCTGGCAGCTTGTCCGTATTGACATTTTAGCACTGACCTGACAGCTTGTCCATATTGACATTTTAGCATCGACATGACAGCTTGTCCGTATTGACATTCTAGCACCGACCTGACAGCTTGTCCATATTGACATTCTAGCATCCACCTGACAGCTTGTCCGTATTGACATTCTAGCACCGACCTGACAGTTTGTCCGTATTGACATTCTAGCACCAACCTGACAGTTTGTCCGTATTGACATTCTAGCACCGACCTGACAGTTTGTCCGTATTGACATTCTAGCACCAACCTGACAGTTTGTCTGTATTGACATTCTAGCACCAACCTGACAGTTTGTCCGTATTGACACTCTAGCACCGACCTGGCAGCTTGTCCGTATTGACATTCTAGCACCGACCTGACAGTTTGTCCGTATTGACATTCTAGCACCGACATGACAGTTTGTCCGTATTTACATTTTAGCACCGACCTGACAGTTTGTCCGTATTAACATTTTAGCACCGACCTGACAGTTTGTCCGTATTGACATTCTAGCACCAACCTGACAGTTTGTCCGTATTGACATTCTAGCACCGACCTGACAGCTTGTCCGTATTGACATTCTAGCAGCGACATGACAGTTTGTCCGTATTGACATTTTAGCACTGACCTGACAGCTTGTCCGTATTTACATTTTAGCATCGACATGACAGCTTGTCCGTATTGACATTCTAGCACTGACCTGACAGCTTGTCCATATTGACATTCTAGCATCCACCTGACAGTTTGTCTGTATTGACATTCTAGCATCCACCTGACAGCTTGTCCATATTGACATTCTAGCACTGACCTGACAGCTTGTCCATATTGACATTCTAGCATCCACCTGACAGTTTGTCCGTATTGACATTCTAACACCGACCTGACAGTTTGTCCGTATTGACATTCTAGCACCGACCTGACAGTTTGTCCGTATTGACATTCTAGCACCGACC